TTCATTCTAAAATGCAAGGAGAACGTCAATTCTTATAATAAAGAACAAGCAATTCAACTGAAAGATTAATTAGTAATATACAAAATCATATTTATTTTAGAAGAGGTTGATCATAAAGTTTGATTCCTGGACAATTTCTCCTTCATATTCCAGTTGATTAAACCAGTGTATTACTACCGGTGATTTTAGAAATAATTTGGCTGTTTTGTCATTTTTTGAAAACAGCATGTAACCAGATAGAATGTCTGCACAAGGATTATTATATCAATTGAATTTGGGTCCATTCGTAAGGTATATCAAAATTATATGAGCAGGTGTGAACCTGTCCAAAACCATTTCGCGAGTCCTACCCTCTTATCGTCACTTTCCAAAATGGCGTCTAGATACTTTTCCACATCAAAGGCGGCATGTCCAAGTGTCCATGCTGATTGTTAACTATGCGTCGCTCACTATGCGTCGCAGACCACAATCTGGCGAATTTTGCACGTGACTTGGGCCTGCACCCGTACAAACAACAGACTGACCCGTAAACTGAAGGTATACGACTATAGACAACGACACATGTGTTCGCTGAATGGGCTCTGGAGTAGTAGGCAACTGACCCTAATTTACGTCGAAAAATTCTCTTCAGCGATGAGGCACATTTCTGGATAAATGGGTACTTGAATAGCCGGAATTGTCGAATTTTGGACGATACCAATCTACGTGAGATCCGAAAACGTCCAATGCACCCAGAAAACTTCACTGTTTGGTGTGGATTTTGGGTTGGCGGCGTCATCGCCGGCAATTTCCAAGAAAGGTTCGGAATATATGCTTGGTTGAGAATTGTGGGAACAAACATACCTGGCCCTTTCTTTTACGATGATCATTTGAATAGTGAAATGTATCCTCATTTTCTATTCAATGAATTTGATGGCTACTTAGATGAATTGCCACTGAATATCCGTCATGAAATACAATATTTTCAACAGGACGGCGCTCTTCCCCATAATGCAGCAATAGTAAGGGAACATTTAGATGCAATATTCTCAAGAAAATGAATTGGAAACAATGAAACAATTAACTGCCCAGCTCGATCCGCAGATCTTACTTCTTTAGATTTTTTTGTCTGGGGATACATGAAGGATAAAGTTTTTTCAACACCAGGTTCAGATATCGACCATCTCAAACAAAAAATAAGAGACGCATGTATTAGTATTAAACTTATTATGCTAGAAAACTGCCACAGAAATTGTCTGGACCGACAACTTAGGTCGTCAATTCTACGAATATTTATTATTATATCATCATAGTACACTTCGAATACAATAACATTTTCCTTTTCTATTTTTTGATATTCTCCGAAACAACAATTCCATTCGAAAAACAAACGAAAAACAGCATTTTTAGTTTTCCCCGTATAACTCGAGAAGGGCGAGAGTCCCCGTAAATTTTCTTTGACCATTGTATGGTTCCCGATGACAGTTACTTTTTTTCCCATCCCATCTCTGCGTATCTGTTATGGTTTAGAATATAGCAATGTTAACAGATGATAAAAGAAACGGCCTGTATATAGGAGCATTTTGGAATTTTCAATTTATTTCCATGTTTCATTATAATTAACAACACATTCATGGCAATATCAATAAATATCAACTTTATCGAGACGTTACCAAAACTGGAGGGCATCACAACAAATTTTCAAATCCTTGAAAATAGTCGAACAATTTTCAAAAACATTTTTTTAATCCTATACGCGTTTTGCTATCACCGTAGTTTCGTTGATAGTAATAAATAGTACACACGGGATTACAATTCTTATATAAAACTGTAATTTACCTTACTCAACTGATTAATAGTATATGAGATAACTTTTGAACTGAAGAAGAACAATTACACCTAGACCTCCCACCTGCTATTTGTAGAACAACTCAATTGGTTAATAGTTAATGAGATAACAGATAGAATTACAATCTCAGTTCTTGTACAGCAGGTAGATTTTGAGATAACAGGTAGAATTTGTGAAACAATTACAATTTCCGATATTGGACGGTATAGGTGAATTTTGAATATGAATAAAATTATTGGCACTATAACTATGGTGTTAGCAAAACACGTCTAGAATTAAAAAAAATATTTGTGAAAATCATTAATACCGAAGTCAAGAATATTCGACAAATGACTTTGATAACGATGTACTCAAAAAATTATTGCTGGCAAAGTGCATTCGAAAACTATAAATTACAACATAGTTTATATTGAATAACTGCTTGATCCGTTACGAAGTTAAATGTCATTCAGGTCAAGTGCAGTCAATAGTAATGACGTGTTGTTTTCTACAGATACAGTGTAAATCTGCTCAAAAGTGAAAAAAATTAGATAAGATCCTAATTTTACTCTTTGAATTCATGGTTGAAATCGGAATGATGATATTTGTAGATGCATGGTTATTATTCAAGTCACATCACTTTATTGTGACTGGACAGATTGGGAAATTTATTGAGTTTACAATACCGGAACACGTATTGCTGTTTACAATAGCTTCCTCAAGCTATTGTAACGATCGAGAAAGTTATTCAGTTTATAAAACCACAACACGTGTTTCGCTATACAATAACTTTCATGCGCGTATAGTATGAAAACGATTGAGGAAGCTATTCAGTTTGAAAAACCGTAACAAGTGTTTTTTATATACAATGGCTACCTTGAGCGTATAGTATGATAACGATTGAGAACGTTATTCAGTTCACAAAACCGCAACCTCAATGTATACAATAGCTTCTTCAAGCGTATAGTTTGAAAACGATCGAGAAAGTTATTCAGTTTATAAAACCGCAACACGTGTTTCGCTATACAATAGCTTTCGTGGGCGTATAGTATGAAAATGATTGTGAAAGCTATTCAGTTTGAAAAACCATAACAGGTTTTTTTATATACAATGGCTTCCTTGAGCGTATATTATGATAACGATTGAGGAAGTTATTCAGTTCACAAAACCGCAACAGCTTCCTCAATGTATACAATAGCTTCTTCAAACGTATAGTTTGGAAACGATTGAGAAAGTTATTCAGTTTATAAACCCTCAACACGTGTTTCGCTATAGAATAGCTTCCGTGGGCGTATAGTATGAAAACGATTGATGAATCTATTCTGTTTGAAAAACCGTAACAGGTGTTTTTTTATATACAATTGCTCCTTTGAGCGTATATTATGATAACGATTGAGAAAGTTATTCAGTTCACAAAACCGCAACAGCTTCCTCAATGTATATAATAGCTTCTTCAAATGTATAGTTTGAAAACTATCGAGAAAGTTATCCAGTTTATAAAACCGCAACACGTGTTTCTCTATACAATAGCTTTCATGGGCGTATAGTATGAAAACGATTGAGGAAGCTATTCAGTTTGAAAAACCATAACAGATTTTTTTATATACAATGGCTTCCTTGAGCGTATACTATGATAACGATTGAGAAAGTTATTCAGTTCACCAAATCGCAACAGCTTCCTCAATGCATACAATAGCTTCTTCAAGCATATAGTTTGAAAATGATCGAGAAAGTTATTCAGTTCATAAAACCGCAACACGTGTTTCGCTATACAATAGCTTTCGTGGGCGTATAGTCTGAAAACCATTGTGGAAGCTATTTAGTTTGAAAAACCGTAACAGGTATATGCTCTGCAGTTTCATCATTTTTCAGACAGAGGCGACACACACTGTCTTTGTCCAAGTCTCTGCAAGCTTCGAAGGGTGAATAAACGCCTTGGAGTGAGCCAATTCTGGAAGGTTCTGCCAGAAGTCCATAACTCTTCTTGCCATCCAGGTGTTAGGTGTCTGTTTGGCAAAGCCCAGGTTCTGGTCCAATGGATCCGCTTGTAGCACCCTCCTTTGCAAGAGAGTCAGCAGCTTCATTGCCTTCCAGGCCAGTATGGCCAGGAATTCAGACCAGAGACAATCTGTTAAGTCTTCCTATCGAGGAGAGTCTTTTTTGGCAGTTTGCTACCAATTTAGACGTTGCTCGGTGGGAGCCAAGAGCTTCCAAAGTCGCTTGACTGTCCGAGAATATTTTTATTGACTTGTGAGTGAGATTGGATTTATCCAATCTCTCCGCATACGGATCTCTCCGCATACAATCTCTCCGCAAGCGGACATTTACGCAATAGCGTAAATATCCGCTTGAAATACAGTCGCATAAGTTCCTAGGCAGGTAGATAACTCTGTCCGGGGTCTGCCACTGAAAACAGCTGCACCAGAAACGGAAGGTGTTTTTGATCCATCTGTGAACCAACAACTATCTGCTCTTAATATTTCCTTCTCCCGCAGGATCCAGTCCTCTCTACTCGGGAATAGTACTTTATAAGGCAGTTCGTAGCTGACAGTTGGAGGCATAAAGTCAGAGGTCATTTCCAGAATGCTGTGACTTCCAATGTCAACCAACAGTCTGTTGCACTCTGCATTGAATTGATTTGTGCAATTGGCAATGTGCACAAGTCTCTATGCAGTCCATCTAGCCTCTCTTTCCAGAAAAATGTGGAGAGGAGGTAGATCCAGAAGGATCTTCATGGCCGCTGAAGATGTGGTACTGATGGCACCACTGATAGCCAGACAAGCCTGTCTCTGTAAGCCAGAGAGCTTCGCTTGGGCCGTTTTCTGTGAAGCCTTCGGCCACCAAGCAATTGCACCATACGTGATGGATTTGTTTGGGACCTAAAACTCAAGTTTTACCACAAATCCTTCGACATGTCCATAGAGACATTCTGGCTTTGTGTAAAACTTCTTCCAAGTGAGCTTTCCAGGTGACTCTTTTATCAAGGACAATGCCAAGATATTTCACCTCTGTTTCAAATGGAATGACCACACCATTGAGGTAAAGTGGCGTTAGATCGTCCAATTTTCTTCTCTTGGTGAAGGGGATTTACTCAGTTTTGCTGGGGTTGACAGACGTCTGCTCCCTCAGGCACCAACTGTGAACAACGTCTAACGCTCTTTGGAGGATATTACAAGCTATTTTTTTCAGAGTAGATAAAGATATTTCTCCTGAATAATTTGTAGGCAGAATACTCAAAAACATAAGTAAGACAATGTAAACATTTGGGTAGACATCTCGAAGACTGCAGATTGTACATCTTTCATATTTGCTGAAGAATCTTCGAGTTGACAATGTAAATGAATACATTCTTTCCCTAATGTCTCTTCCAAATCGTCTTTCAATTCGTGTGTATCTTATTTCAGACAAATTTTCGAAGAAATTGAGCTTTTCATATGCACTTTCATGCCCGGCCAATTGCACTCTTAAAGTATCTGAAATAGGTTAATCAATATTTATGGGAAAATTTTCTTGTCCAAAAATAGATGTTCTTTCATTGAACTGTGACTCATCTGGCTGAATTTCGTTTTTTTTGCGAATAATATTCTGACAATAATAATCTTGGATTCCAGATGAATTATCAGTACTAGCTATTACCCGCGGGTTTGCTCGCATTTATGTCATTAAATAAGTGCCAGTACAATAGAAATGAATCAATATGAGAACTATATTTTAATGCTTGGCTGGGATTATCAATATTTAAAAATTATTACATACGATGAAGTTTTGAAAATTTAAAATATGCTTTATTGAATTGCAACAACAAGTGTTGAAAATATGAAATAAATGATTTTTAAATTGTTTAATCTTATATGCAAAACATTTTTTTTAATGACAAGTATCGTATGTTACTTGTAATACCTTCAATAATATGTGTAAAAAAAATAATTTCGCGTGAAACCGTAACAAACAAACTTACATTCGTATTTATAATATTAGTAGGATCCTATAGAAAATTCATTACAAGAATTAATTTGGACTCATTTCCATAAGAGACTTATTTTTACTTCCATTAATCTCTGATAATTTGGTATTTCAAAAATGTTGCCGCCTCTCAAATCATGGGTATATGATATATGGTTATGACATCTAAACCAAAGTCCATTCGTCCCAAAGGAAGAGCCAACAGAGCCAAGACCAAGATAGCACGCCAAGTTCGATCCAATGTCAATGTTTTGCTCACTGTTCCTTCAGATTATCGTGGCGTAATGCATCAGTAGTTCTTGCCATATGGTCGTATGGTCAATAAGGAGTATTGTCCGAGAATACCTACCACATTGTCTTGAAGTTGTGCGTCGCTTGCGAGAAGCAATATAGTAGGGGAGCCCACAATGTAAAATGGGGATTTACTCGACTGTCATAGAGACATATTAGGTTGCAAAGCTTAGATGATAAGACGAAAAAATGATATATAATATATAACATTTCATCGGTGGGGGAAGCGGTTATAGATTTTTAAATATGTAAAAAAAATACTGTTGCATGGACATACTCGAGCGCGTCAGACATTGATAGCATAAATGTCCTACGTATTTTTAATAATGTTGGTATGTTAATCTGATCGTTTGCATGATGCGGGTGGTTGTACGTAAGGGTTTAAAGTGAGAAGAAAAAAATTCAATCGAGCGCGTCAGATTTTCTGAGTGCACCCAAAAAAAAAGCTCTCATTCAATAATCTGACGATTTCGATTTGACGCAAACTCGCGGCCATTATTATAATGTGCAAAAAAAATTCACCATTTTGAAATTCTCAAGCGCGTTAGATTAAGATATATATGGTTCATCTTTATGTTCTAGACGTGCTGTCTCATAATCTGACGATTATCTAGAGGGATTCGCCTAATCTGACAAAAAAATATATTTTTATTTATTTTTTCAAATCACTGAACTTAAATAATTGAAAAGCTCAGGAAATAGCACGCAAATAAATAAGCGTATGTTTTTTAAGTACAATACTTAAATGTATAAGAAAATAATTTTTGAAAAATGCTCAAAAAAATTTAACGAGTCTCTGTGATCAGCTGTGATGGCGTCATAGCAACAGAATTCAGAGTGGGGACGGAGTGAGAGAGTAACAGAAATTTGGAGAGGGAAATACAGGTGCACGCATTAAACTTTGTCGACGAATTTTTGCGGAAATCGTCAGATTATAAATTTTTTCGTTATCCTTGAGTTATTTCCTTTAAAATAAAAAAAAGAATTAGCTACGCTCGAGAATATCGAAATGACGTTATTTTTTACAACTTTGCTGCCCTCCCTTTCTTTGCGTCACTCTCAAATTGTCAGATTATTGGAATATACACTTTTCAGCATGTAATTAACTTGCCCTACCTTAATCTGACGCGCTCCAGAATTTCTGATGATACATTTTTTTTACTGATCTGATCCTTTATCCTTCACGGGCGGCCTCATATATGGGGCTCATATTGGTGGAGGTACTTAACCGGGTACAAGGTATCGCCCTGTATAATAATCTGCCGCGCTTCAGTAAATCCCGAAATCCCTGCTTGGGCTCCCCAATTAATACGAAGAAAATGTTGTCCTTGCTTGATCGTGATTTTTTGGCCAAAAACAACACTGTTATCATGCCTCAGCCACCGTTTTCATCAAATTTGCCCCCTGTGACTTCTTTCTGTTTCCAAGATTGGAAAGACCCATGGATAAATGGCATTTTTCGACAATTGGGAAAAATAAAACTTCAGGAAATTATGTACCTAACTAAAGCACTATTAGATCGGATTGGATCATGAAAACATCCTCTTTCCCAGCTGAAATTGAAAATATCTTAGGTATGGCTGATTTAATCAGGTAAGCTGTGCAATTATGTGATGTATTGAAAAGTGATTTCCATGTTGAAAGTTTTATTCGAAATTCAAAAGTAAAAACAGTTTTGGGTGTTATTTAAAAAAAACTGTTGATTTATAATGCGACTTTTTGAGATTTGTTACATTAAATTATAAAACAATGAGTTGAAATGAATATCACATTTTTCACTTTTTAAGCGACTCAATTATATACGCCTGTTGAACAGTAACTTGGAAATTATTCATCACTCCGCTGCTTGAGGAAATAGACTACGAGTATAGTATCTTAAATTCATAAATAATATTTATACCTCTCAGGGAATATCGAACATAATTCGGATTTGTACCTGTTGAATTGAAATGCAGTGAAATACTTACCAAATTAAACACCGTGAAATAAATTGATGTTTTCTGGGAAAAAACTATCATATACAATGACGTTACATGAAGAATGTAGATGCTGTACGTGAATTTGTTCAGTACCTGGAATATTGGATACGACAGTATGGTATTGACCACACCTGAAATAGAAACATTGATTTCACTGAGGTTATTCAATAAGTTATATTCATTCACATTTTGCTATTTTGCTAACTTGAGATCCATCAGTATTGATTTCCACAACCAAATTCATAGTTTTAGTTACTATAAATCAATTATAGCGATTTTTTCCCAAAAATTGTGTAACTCAGCAACACAAAATTCTAAGCAGTTGTGCTGAAAAATTCGTAGGCTAACATAGAAAAAATTCTTCAGAAAAATTACATTTTATTATTCAATGCAGTTGCCTTAGAGGGCGATGCAACGATTATAGCGGTCATACAATTTTTCGATGACATTTTTTTAGTACGATTTGTTTTTAGCCTCAAAATAGGTCTCAGTTTCAATGACTACCTTTTCATCGGCGTTACATTTTTCTCCAGCGAGCATTCTTTTGAGGTGTCAGAACAGGAAAAAGTCGCTGGGTGCCACATCTGGAAAATACGGTGGAAGTTAAAGGAATTTGAAGACCAATTCATGCAATTTTGCCATCGTTCTCGTTGATCCGTGAAACGGTATGTTGTCTTGGTGAAACAACACTTTTTTTTTAATGGGGCTATTTTCCCGCGATTTCTTTCTACAAATGCTCCAGTAACGTTTTGTAACAGTCGCTGTTGATGGTTTTTCCCTTTTTAAGATAATCGAAGGATTATATATCCTGCGCATCTCAAAATACTGATATCATAATCTTTCCAGCCGACTGTTAGGCCTTTGCATGCTTTGGAGTCGGTTCACCACGAGGAGTCCACTCGGATGACAATCTTTTTGATTCTGATGTACAACGATGAAGCCAAGTTTCATCCATTATCGCATATCAACTCATAAATTCAGGGTTTTTATGGTGGGAGAGCTTCAAGCACTGTTCAGAATAATCAATTCGTTGTTGTTTTTGGTCGCACATATAGATATTCATGCATGATCTGTTTAATAGGTTTCTTTGATATCTTAAGAGCTTCAGCTATCTTGATTGACTTCACTTGGCGGTCATCCAAAATTATTTTCTGGACTTTTTTGATGTTTTCGTTGGTGAGATCCTCTTTGGGGCGTCCACTGCCTGCATCGTCCTCGGTGCTACTTTTACCTCGTTCAAAAGTAGCAAACCAATTCTCAACGGTAGATGCCAAGGATGCCATTTCCAAGTAATGTTTATCAAGCCAACCTTTGCCTTCAACAGTATTTTTTCTCACTAAAAAGCAATGCTTCAAAACACAAAATTCCTTTTCATCCATCATCATCCATTATAAATTTTCTTCAAACTAACAAAAGAATCATCGCTAAAACCGCACCACAGTGAGTCCCGTCACTTGTATGGACTACCCAAAATCCACAAGAAGGATGTTCCGCTCAGACCGATCATTAGCTCCAGAGATTCAGCTACTGAAAACTTGCCAGATTTTTACTGCCAATAATAAAACCACTGCAAGGAAAAACATCATTTTTTGTGAAGAATTTAAGGCATTTTGTCGAACTACTAGAGGCAATCGAAGTCACAGAGCAGGATCAACTGATCAGTTTCGAATAATCAATACAGTTTATTGTATGATTTTCCTATACAGGGTTTTACAAAAACCGCGACACGTGTATAGCGAAACACGTCATATAGTAAAAATCATACAATTAGTTTCAATATGGATTTTCATCAAGTATCGCCCAGTGGAAAGCCTCTACACTTCTACACCAACGTTCCTGTCGAAGAAGTACTTCAAATTATACAGAGGAAGCTATCCAAATATGGAGACCTGGAAGATAGAACAAACTTACCGATACAAGTAATCATGGAATTACTAGAATACTGTGTATTACGGAACTGCTTCTTCCAACTGAAGGACGAATTCTTTACGCAAGATGAGGGACTGCCAATGGGATCGTCACTTTCACCGGTTATAGCCAACATATATATGGAGTGGTTTGAAACTCTGGTCATTGAAGAATCCCCCAAGAAGCCCTGAGTCTGGTTGAGATACGTTGACGACACCTTCATAATATGGAACCATGAGAGCAGGGCCGTAGCGAAAAGAAAAACCAGGGGGGGGGATGGAATCCAAATTTTCCCAACCCCACCAGAATAATTTCCCATTTTTTGAAAAAATGAAAGCCGAGGGATTAGTTACTACTATAATATTTTAATTTTCTCACATAGCTATCCAAAGATTGCCTGAATGCTTATGCCCGTTAGGATATGCACAAACAAAAATAAATTTTGGTAATTATAAAAATAATAATGGGAATTATTCTACTTTGGACCGAGGTCCTTGGTCTTTCACCATATCCACCACGTATAGGAATATTTAATACAAATGAAAGGGAACAACACTTAAATAATATTGTGCTTATTGTTTTCTACTATTATTTTTTCTATTTTCACGGCCCGAAATTTCCCAACTTTTCCAAGTCGAATAAACAGCGAAAAGTTGGAAATTTTGTAAAATTGTCACTTCAAAATTTGTGGACTGTTCAACTGTTCTCTTACTTGGGAGAAATTAAACTTTTTTGGAGTTTTCAAACAACTCAGAATTTCAAAGTATGGGATCTCCATATTATGCATGTTGGGAAATCCCAACCTTGTCCTGGTTCTTTCCCTTTCCTGAATACCTCCTTTCTTCTCTCATTTTCATTTTTTAATTTTTATTCATTTTTTTACTATTATTTTTTTCAATCTTCACGGCCCAAAATTTCCCAACTCTATCTCAATTTTTTCCCAAGTCTTGTTAATAATTCTCATCTCGTGTTTATAGTTCAATTTTTTGATTGTTGCTTGTATTTTATTTCTTTGTAATTTCATTTTGTTTGCTCAATATGATTGTTATTGTTCAGCCAATCCTTTTAATTTATATCATATTAGACAATGGAAGTCTGAACTAATGAAATGTAACAATAATTGATTCACTCAAAATTTTCCCATCCCAAAAACTAATAGTCCGATAGTTTTGAAATTGTACACTATCTTTTGATGGTTTATGTTAACTAAAAATCATATGAATTCAATACTAGTAGCCTAGTACTGTGTTAGCCTAGGAACTTTCAGCCCATCTAGTATAAGTAGGTACAAGAAATGATATAAAATTGAAGGATGAGAGTGATACGCCTCTCGCAATATATTTGATATATCAACAATTTCGTAGTGGCTCTTTGAATAAATTGGAAGTTAAAGCAATCATACCATGTGAAAATACTTATGTGAAATGAAATCTCAATCGTTCAAACTGAAAAAAAAACTAATTGGAAATTCTCAGTAGAAGTTTTTTCAGATACGAATAGAAGAATCTGCTAATAACTAACTCCCTCAAATAATATTGAATTACAAGTGATCATTGTTGGCTTTTTCGATACATTTGGTATTTGTTCTTATTTTCTTGACAAGATTTTATTGATAGTCATTGAATCTATTCCTTTATTTGAAAAGACCGATAATGGGGAATGTTCCTGACGAAAATCAAGTAGTTTTCATAAAATAGTTCTAAAACAACCTTTTTTTCTGTAAATTATTTAAATACTTTAAAAGAGGAATGAAATGATGCATTCAACATTCAAAGGGATTCGTTTCTATTTCACCATTTGGCAATATCGGTTATAGCTAATAAAGGACAATGAATCTGTTACCTGTATGATACAAACAAAGGTGACATATCTCAGAGGCGTGCTGTTCTGTTTACTTATGTTCCGAGTTCTGAGACATTCTGTGACGTATGACATTTTGTGCACCTAACCTATATAACCTAACTCTATATAAATAAATAACAAAACAACTGTTGTTTATGTGGCTTGTGGAGGTGGTATTGAACTATAATTTATATTGTGCCTTAATTGTTGATTTATAAAGATAATTTTCTTTTTTAAAGTAGAATATCTAGGTACGTATGAATTATTTCAAATTGATATAGGCGCTGTTGCCAATATGTGTATTAGAAACAAATCCCTTTAAAAATTAAAACCCAACATTGAGGAACATTCCCCATTCTACACCATGTGACATTACCTCCTCGATTAGTACAGCATGCCCAGATTATCCATCCAATAGCTAAAGCCCATGCTGGTCTCACGAGTGCGATGTAAAAAGAGTTTCCTAACCTGTCATAATACGGTGTTCTCAAGGTGCTGTGACCTCCGAAAACACAGGTCAGTATTACCCCGACACTACATATCCAGGTCAGAAGCGATAATATCTGTAAAAATAACTTTTTAGTTATTTATCAAACCTTCAATTCAATCTTCACCTTTGGTATTTTTGCATATTTGGAAGAGTCTCTGGTGAGGTAGTAACCGAGCATAGCTCCTATAAGCCATGGCGAAGCCCTGTTGTGGGTTTTCAAATAGTAGTCATTCATGTAAGTTTGAACGGGAACCCTGTTGAATTCAAATATAAATGTTTCAGTGATGATAAACTCTTATTTATGTTCATCTGGTTTGAGTTATTTTTCATAGATCACCATCAATATCAAAAACTTTTGTCTACGTCGTATTCTTACGTAGGGTTACGTTGGCAAAAGTGCACTGATTCAAATGACACCTATTTCGAATAAATTGAATAAGTATTCACCGAGATATTACAGTTTAAAGTAGGCTCATAAAAACTGATAACGTTTGAAACAACCTCACAACCTGATCATAGTAGAATAATACAACCAGTAGGCTCTCTTACCACGTGATCCGTCCGAGTTGCCGGGGACCTTCAACCGCTCTTTTGATGAAATTCTCACTAGTCCAGTCATTATAGTAAGTTCACCTCGGAATTCGAGATATTTTCGATTTATATGGATAATTTCTTTCAATTCGTGCGAACCTTGGATAACTCCGCTGGTTTGGATGATTAGATGAAACTATGTTTCTAACTGCATGCGTTGCCTTTTAACATTCCCGTCAGTATAAATCACTTCAGTTATATTTACTTTTTACCATTGCAAATCTTTGTTATAGCCAGAGAACGCACTCACACGTATCTATATATATAGGCTATATACTTCATTCAACTCCCGTAACATGTCGAAATTAGCGACTATTGGTACTAAAACATTTGTGGATCGCTCCAAATACAAATGAATCCTGAACTAGTTGTCAAAATTGACAAATTCAAAAGGGTAGAGCTGGATAGTTCTAGTTGGTCATTGAGAGTTTTGAAATCGGGAAAAACCTGTTCTTTTCCTGGAGTATTTTCTATATCTAGATTATGTTCATATCATTTACTGTAAAAATCAAATTCCTTACTATTTAACAGAATATTGCCGTGTTTAGTATTGCCAGGTCTGCTTTGCAGTAGATCTCCTGTTGTAACTCTCGAGCCAATGTTTAACTGTTTGAGCGTAAAAAACCCATATACTGAATACGAATAGCAAAAAACCCACAGGAAATTAGATATTTCCAAAAAAAGCGCAAAAAACCGATTTTTGTGACATTTGACCTTGAAATTTAATAGTTGCTTACACCCTACCATATGTAGGTTTTGAGACAACTTTCAGGGTGTCAATATACAAGTATTTACAGACTCACAGCTGGGTATCTCGAATTCCGAGATTCTTACCTAATTTAAGCTTAAATGACTGGATTACACCCAAAGAGCGTTCAGTGCTGTAGTACCGAAGGATTCGACGGTACCACGTGCATTGGATTAGTTATAATAAACGGTCAGAAATTGATATTGTGTTTAGTTTATTCGCTGTTGTTATTATTGTTTTTAGTTTTTGTAGCTGATTATAATTTTCTATAATATCCTTAAATTCATTTTTTATATGAGCGTACGCCTATGGTAAAATAATGAAATTGGCTCCGAACTTCGTTTCGAGGGGACCGAAAACTTTGTGAATTTATGAATGAAAGTAGTGGGAGTGGACTTACTGGTTGATTTATTATACTATGACCTGATAACAATTTTTCTCCCAAATTTTTTATTGAATGTACCTACAGGCAAGCCTTATCCAGAATAATATTGAAATGAAAGCGACATTAAATCCCAACAGTGTAAGGATTCCTTGTCTTAGGCTTTTAATATCTATAATAATATCGAAGAAAATATGAAATAGCTTTCTTTAATATTTTTCAAATGTAGATTTTGAAAAAAATTGTCTGAATGAAGAATGTTCTTGAAATCAAGTTACCAGAAAATTTCCCATTTTAGATTATTTTAACAGCTTCCTGATAATTATTTCAGGATTAATTTTATTTATTTGTATCTAACTAGGTATGCTTGGTTGAGTGGAAGAAAAGCTATGTATGCTTAATTATCCGGTCAAATTAGACTAAAAAATAAGAGTGAAGGTACATAAATTTAAAGCATTTCTGCCTGAATCAAGGTAACTTATGCCATTAATTATGAGTTTTGTGCCATAAAGACAGAAGCATACTCCATATCTCAGTTTGGAATCAACCTGAGCAGCTGATCAACTTTGAAACCTCTCTAATATTTTGGAAATGAAATGAAATACTGTTTGGAATCTTTGGTGTAGTAATGAATATTACTGAAGTTTTTTCCTAACATCAAACCGTTATTTTAACACCTCGACACGTGTTTTGATCACCAAGTGATCATCTTCAAGAGGAAGATTAAACGCAATCTTCAGTCTTCCTTTTGAATATGATCACTTGGTGATCGAAACACGTGTAGAGGTGTTAAAATAACGGTTTGGTGTTGGAATTATTATCGACGTGTCATCTGCATACATTGTTATGGGTCCTAATATCGGTCCTTGAGGCACTCCTTGTTCGGAAAGGGACATATTGTTAATAGAGTCTTCTGAAAATCGCACCCTAAATGTAACTTTTCGATGGACTATTTAAATTCTAAGACGGTACGAAGTTTGCCGGATCAGCTAGTACCTGAGACATGAATACTCACCATTCTATTTACGTTGACGTAGTTCTGAATGTAGAGCAGAGTGGACCACCAATAATCCTTACAGTTGTTTTCGAAACCGTTTATTATATAACCCCATTTAGGCCCCGAACCCATATATCTCAGAAGAGTGGCACTAACTAATACAGCTCCTGCTAATGATGGGGTTAATCTGAAAATGGGCGTATTCCTCGATACAATTTTTGACAGTTTTTACAAAGGCTAAAAAATGAGTTCAAATAGATTTTACGTTAACAAGCTGCTGTCTTCTCTAGGAACGACAATCTTCGAAAGCCGAAACTTGTTCAAGCTGAGGAGTGACGAGATCTCATCTGTCAATGTGCAGTTCCTAACACATCATATATATATATATATCATTCGGAATTTTAAAATCTTATTTCTAACTATGTTTTGAACAATTACACGCGTTTGCAGCTTGTTGTAAATTTATGTACCTTCCAATGTCTAGATTGACCGGATTATAACTCCGCCAAGTGAAATAGCAGGCTATTTATTATTATTATTATTTATCAAATCGAAATATCTTACTTAGGGTATAAGTTCGTAGTTATCCCAGACAACTGCTCACTATACGCTGTCCAGAACGATGCGCCTATTGATGCTAGAGTGGCTGACACTAGTACAGTTATAGCTGATTTTGGGTATTTTGTTAAAAGCAACAGTATGAATGGTGAAAATAGATACAACTGCATGTCGATGTTTAGGTACCATGATTGTCCAACGCACTGGAAAATTCAAAAGATACGTGATGTACCATTTCTTATACCTTCAAATTGAATATTTGAAATCAAATTTTCATTTTTGTACTCCGCCTGGAATAATGGAATAATTATTAGAACATAGTTACACAGACTACGGAATATTGCAAATCAATACATCGCAGATGAAGAAGAAATCGCACAAGAGAATTTCCGTGTTTAGTATTGCCAGGTCTGCTTTGCAGTAGATCTCCTGTTGTAACTCTCGAGCCAATGTTTAACTGTTTGAGCGTAAAAAACCCATGAGCACTCAGTGAATTTTCTATAATAATCATTAGATAACTGAAGACAGTGAAAATTTCCATGTGTGCAGTAATATTCATAAAATATATTTTCTACTGTTGTTTGCAACAAGGTATTATTTTTTCTGACACAATGACCTGGCAACACTGGCCGTGTTAGTATGTCCCAACTTCGTGCTTCACGAACAAAACATTTTATTCCCTTGAAATGTTTCATTTTTTAGGCCTAAGCATGGAGAAACAATAAATTTTCTGCAATGAAGCCGCCATATATTGAATCCGAAGATTGTGACTGGAAAAAGCATGGATGCCGATCCCAACTTCCAAACCTTTCGAACTTCTGAATTTAATTTTCTACAGATGCAAGGGAAACTGTGGAAGTATGTGTGGTTGCCAAAAAACAGGCCTTAAATGCTCTGCAGTATGCTACAATGGGGAATGTTCCTTCTGACGAAAATCAAGTAGTTTTCATAAAAGAGCTCTAAAATAACGCATTTTAAAATTATCATTTCAACCTTTTTCTTTAAAAAATTAAATACTTGAAAAAGAGGAATGAAATAATGCATTCAACATTTAAAGGGATTCGTTTCTATTTCACCATTTGGCAACATCGGTTATATCTAATAAAGGACAATTAATCTGTTACCTGAATGAGACAAACTAAGATAACATATTTCAGAGGCGTGCTGTTCTGTTTACTTAAGTTCCGAGTTCCGAGACATTCAGTGACATATGATATTTTGTGCACCTAACCTATCTTGCTCTATATAAATAAATAACAAAACAACTGTTGTTTATTTAAAAATTAGTTACTTAACTAAAGTGTATCTAATAAAATAATTACGGGAAAAATTTTTTCTATGGATTTTCGTCTATTCAAGTGCCTAGAAAGTAAGTGATTTTTTTCTTAATAATGATAGTTAATGAGTTTAAATAATTTTTCTTGTTCAAAGGTCCGTATCGGTCAGCACGTGCGCTCTTTGAGGATCTTTCTTCAAATTTCGAATATCTTTAATATTTTCCGAGATAATTGCAAGAAACCAAACCCCATTTTTTTACTAAATCGTTTAAAACTTCTGCAATTTTTTCGAGCACCTCTTGAAATTTTTCAAAAACTTGCCAGAAGTCATTGTGAATCGAATGAATCCTGGATCATTTTGGGAGATAGAAGGCTATAAGGACCGTATCATTAAAACTGCGATCACATATGGACTCTCACTTCGTATCGTCCAACTGGTGCTACTAATCACACGTTGAAAGGTTAGAACCTCGTTAAGCTAATTGCACACACACACCGATTTTGGACGGCCGACTTTGTACTGGTCGTCCAAATTCTAATAGTGAACCACATGTAGGAACGGGACCTTGCACACACGCCGACCTGTGATCGTCGCCGGTAAAATACCGGCGCATACTCACCGGTTTTTTACCGACCATTCCAGTCTCGAATGCTCGATGAAATTGTAGTTACTACGCATTAACTTCGTTTTGGTAGTGCTTGCTAATTACGACAACAAAGCAACTGATTGTTTGACCGATAAGAATCCGGTGAGTGTGCAAGCACCCGCTACCAATAAAATATCGGCCGATTTTATACTGGCCGTCCAAAATCGGTGTGTGTGCAACTAGCGTTAGTCCTCAGCTCGCACAAGTTTCGACTTCTGAGGGTTGTCTGTCGTATGGGTGCGATAGCTGGTTAACGGATAAACAGATTCTAACAGATTTAACAGAATTGTTCTATTTTAATTTCATACTCACCGAATGTATCTGTGAAAGTAATGTTTGAGAATGTTGAATTTTTTTTCGTTCCTCTTCTCCTTGAAGAATACATAAGTAACAAGAACTCCACCTACTATTAGAAAGGTATCGCAGGCCAAATTCCCACTAGCAAAAATCATGCTGAAAGAGGAGTTTGTGAACTGAAAAAATAGTCAGATTTCGAAAATTAATATTGTTCGAATGAAACAGTTTCGTTTGATTATTCTTATGCTGTTTTCAATTAGTAATTTGGTAGTTTTATAAACGTATTGTGAAAATTGTTATAAGAATTTATATTAATAGTTGGACTGAAAGGTCCGCAGGCTAACATAGAATACATGTTTTTGATGAAGTTTGATTTTATCATTCAATATAGTCAAGGCCGTAGCCATTGGGGATCAAGGGGGATTGATCCCCCCTAAAGTTCTACAAACAACGGCCATCCAAAAATTATATCAAATACAACGATTGACTTGTTTAAACATAACAGGAGTTTCATTGTTAATCACCTTCAAACAAATAACAGGAGTTATGAGAATAACACCAACCGCGGCAATGGAATTAATTACTGGTCTGACCCCTCTGGACCTGTACATTAAGAAGGTTGTGTTAATGGCCATGTTACGATTGCACACGGCTGGTGTAAACCTCGAAGTGGGAATGGGTTAATTGAGGCTAAGCTTATGGTGAGAAGCGCACACTGCGCAACCTCTGCTGCAGGCAACCGTGATGCAATTGAACCCAGGTTTGTGTTTAATACACCTTGCAAAATACAAATAAAACGGAACTAGTCAAACGTTACCCCCATGCTCAATCCCTAAAGAGATGGGATGGAATCAAAGGATCACCAGGATCACCCTCGGCGTCCCTGGTAAGCTGGCGCTGAAGAATTATCTAGCGATGACCAGGAAAACTTTACGCCAGTGAGATTTCTGACTGGCCACTGTCGACAAGAAAACACTTCCATAATATGGGGCTAGTGGACACACCTCTATGCAGGATGTGTGAACAGGAAGATGAAACTGTCAGGCATGTCCTATGCGAGCTATGAGTTATCGTCAATAAGAGAGTGTGTGTTCGACGAGTCTTGGCCTACACTTGCCGATATAACGGAGATGTCTACTAGTAACCTGTTTACCTTCCTGGAAAGGACAGGATCGACGATGACTTAGGAGGACGACTCCTTGGGAGGATGTATAATGGGTCACATTGGCCTAAGTGCTGACGGCCTACACTCACCCTCCCTACTCTACAGATACAGATACTATTGAAATTATAAAATCCGTTAGAAATTCTATCAAGTCCTTGGCAAAACGAACTAAGTGTTTGAAAGAGAATATTGAAAAATACTTTCCCGAAACACAATGGGAAAACCTTATGGCAATGTGCGTACAAACTTGCAAAGATCTTGGCGAAACTACTTGTTTCCACATGCACCCCTGAAAGGACTTTCTCTTCTCTGAACTGCCTAAAAACTCATTTAAGAAACTCCACAAGCCAGGAACGACTAAACGGTTTATCGTTAATGTCAATCCATCGTAGAATTGACATCGACACCGAGGAGGTAATTGATTTGTTTGCTGCAAAGAAAGCTAAAAAATTGAATTTGATTTCGTTAAAAGATGTTAATATTTCTGTAATGGTTTTCTAATAAATATATATGATTATGTAACACAATTTTTCTACTGTTCCACCAAACCAAACCCCCCCCGAAATTGTTTTCTGGCTACGGCCTTGAATATAGTTGCCATCGAGAGTGACACAACGGTTATAGGATTATACAATTTTTGATACTTTTTCATAGTAGGATTTGTTTTCATCCTCCAAATAGGGCTTAGTTCCGACGATCGATACTAATTTTTTCCAGCGAACAATCTCTTGAGGTCTGAGAACAGGAACGAGTCGCTGTGGACCAGATCTATAGAATACCTACGGTGGCTGTGGAAAAAATTCGAAACCCAATTCATACAGTTTTGCCATCGCCTTAATTTTTTTTTTGTGATGCACTGTTTGGAACCTTTTTTTAAATAATAATATGCTTTGGTGTACCTAGTAATTAATATTATTGGAGTTTTTTCCCAACACCAAACCGTTATTTTAAAACCTCGACACGTGTTTCGATCACCAAGTGATCATCTTCAAGAGGAAGATCAAACTTTGATCAAACAGTTTCATCTTCCTCTTGGAGATGATCACTTGGTGATCGAAACACGTGTCGAGGTGTTGAAATAACGGTTTGGTGTTGGGAAAAAACTGCAGTGATATTCACTTTTCAACAGTTGATTTTCCTGGTGCAAAGTCCGAATAAGGTTTATCAAGCCAAGCCTTAGCTTCAACAGTATTTTTTTACCAAAAATCAATGCTTTATTAGCACACGAATTTCCTTTCCATCCATTTTCTTCAAACTAACAAAAGTTGCTTCACTCAAAGTGATCCATCACACAAATTAATAGTCCGACAGCTGTGAAATTTGTACACGTGTCTTTCGAAGGTGAGGGTTGACTAAAAATCATGGATTCGATTCTAGTAGCGCCATATGTGTGTTAGCCTACGAACATTTTAGCCCACCTTATATTTCGGCTACTGAATAAGCTATTCAAAAAAGCTGATATTATTTCCAACTTCCCACTTTTAATGTTCATAGAAGATTTTTTAAATTCAATACAAGTCTATCTGTTACTTTCTATCGTTGCCTTTTTTGCTGTAGCACAGGTTCTGAATTGTTTAACACGTAAAAATGGTTTGAATTACTTTTTAGAATGTAAAAAAGGTTCATTACTGAGGATTCAACAAAGGGAAACTTGTACCTAATTCACTGTCGATATTGAATTATTTTTTAGCGGCAGTACATTTCAATAGGATTTGTTTTACCTGCTATGAAATAATTGCAAGCTAATTATTAATAGATAGATATTTTTAATCTTTGACTAATATTTATAATTTTCCCAGAGGGTTAAAAATACTTTG